CAGAATCATAATATGAATTCATATAATATATCAACGACCTAGTGTGTGTACATAGTCTTATCGTGTCAAATCTAAGAGTTTCTTCCCCTATGAAGTATATATCGTCGTGTAACCCACTTGGGATTGTATCAAGTAATTCACTTTCAAGAGATATTTTCCCTTGGGATAATATCAAGTAAATCACTTTCAAGAGATATTTCCCGTTTTGAGTTTTATCGTGTAATTCATTTTTAAGAGATAGTTCCCTGTGGAGTTTTATCGTGTGATGCATTTGAAAGTTATTTTCTTGTGTGGGAATTTTGGAACGCAACCATCTAATGAATAATTTGTGTACCGATGTTAACAAAGACGCAACTTGTATATACAATTTTCTCCACTCGAGAGAGCAAATGTTACAAATCTAAACCCGAGCGATTTTAGAACGATTTTAGACCAACTTTATCTTTCTTTGCAATGATCTGAAAAAGGATGTGTACCCTTTGTTTTATATGACGTCATCAGGCATGGCCGCCTTATTTCGTATCGTCAGAGTAGCAAATGTAGAGGAAATCAAGAGAATTTGGCGTTCTATTTGAATTTGGACCAATGAAAAACTTAGATCAATCGAACCAATTCGTTTGTTATAAGAAAATAACCAACCGGTCAGGAAAAGTATGAATCTGAATTTAAGAATTCCAAAGAATATTTAACACCTGACCAGCACAACTACATGTATAGCAATGTTTATCGATAAATATGATGTTTCCACACTGTCATGCATGAACCCATACTTAATAGATTTTGATTGTAAATTGTTTGGGGAGTGCTCAATCGCACAAAACTACGAAAAACGATGGCTTCTAGCCGTTTAGTGAAAGATATTCAATCCTTCAGAAAATTGTATTCTCGAAATTGGTACACAATCCTAGTAACTCTTTTAAGAATTTGATAAGCAATTGACGAAATGGGTTTGTACTTTTGAGAAGACTAGGTTGTAATAATATAAAAAATAGAATAAAGAATAACTATGTATTTAGCAGATAGTTTAATAGGACATGTCGAGTGCAAATTGCAGGCAAATACCATTAGAATAAAGAGATCGTGCTTTCTTTTAATTTGCGATGGATTTTTAATTCTTTGATAGTAAAGCATTTCCAAGACGAAATGGTTCTTCTTATACTCTATTCTATTACACATGATATGTCTTATCACAAGTGGAAAACCGCCGTGTTCATTTAATTGAATTGAATTTGCATGATGGTTCTGCAACTCTGCTTTTTTTGATAGACTACTAAGAGTGTATTTATTGGCACTGGCCACACATAATGGTTTCTAACTCGACGTTTCAGAAATCCCCAAACTGAACTGAAAATAACGTCATGTTGTAATTGGTTGAATTTTCATTGTTTATAATGTTGTTAGCCATTCAAAACGTTTTGATGTACTCTTTTGAATATACAACCCAGGATCCACAGATTCTGTAACGGCAAATAGTTGAATTTGAGTGTGAGGTTGAATTGTTACGGTTGCTCATTACTTGCCACAAAAATGAGTAGGAAACTGTCACCTTTCCGGAATATATGATTTCACCTCCGGTTTTCAGTAGAGTCCGTGGTGGTGAATCTTTAGTTTTGTATGTAGTGTTTTGGGATGGTTGTCTCTTTTTTTGTTGTGTGTTTTTTTTTTTGCCATGTTTTGCTTGTTTTTTCTTCGACTTACATGTATGGGTTTTGATTGTTTTTTGCTTCGACTTACATGTATGGATTTTGTTAGTTTTTTCTACGACTTACATGTATGAGTTTTGCTTGTTTTTTCTTCGACTTACATGTATATATATGGGTTTTGATTGCCCATGTGGGATCTACTTTTTCCGTTCTGATACAGACCTTATGTGAACGCTTTCTTACTTTGATCTGACAACGCCGTTCTAATCTAATTTCTGTTCTGATAATAATAACTTTACACAATGAAATATCTGTCTCAAATATTAGGAAGGTGTTAATTATCACGACAAACCCGATGGTCCCGAAAAGGTCTTTACGACAAAAAAAAATCCCAACTTTGGATCCTTGTATGTGAAGCGACGTGGACACATGATCTGAATTATAAGAATGCTATTTTATATTTGGTTACGAAAACAAATGAATGGTCTTTGTATATGCTAGTTTATAAATTGAAAGAATTTGTTCGTACAATTGTAAACCCTCGGTTTTGCTTCACATGTAGCTAATTTTGGATATGGTACTTTGCAATCAACAAAATTTGACAATTTTATCAAAAACATGTAGTGTTTATTGTTTATAAAACTTATAAATGGAAGGAACTATGTATATTAATATATTTGTAATGAGCCGGTTAGATCGTGTAAACTCTGAGGAAAAATTCACATTTTCCAGTTTGCTACTCGTCGATAAATAATACTTTATATATTTTTGTTCCTGAACACTTTACTTAGTTTAACATTGATGAATATATGCGACTTAACCAACATGACATGAACAAATATAAATGTGTTTCTCTGTGAATATAAAACAAAGATTGAATTTATTATTACTTTGTTATTAGTCAAGAATGACCCTAACAAATATTCAAATCAGTAAATAATTCATTGGAACAAAATTATTCTGTTAAATGTACGCCTTTTTCACGGTTATAATTGCTGCTATTACAATCAGATGCGAGAAACGTAAGAAATAAAAAGCCATGTTAAAGCACTCGAATTTCATTCAACTGTGTAAATAGCATACAATATTGATGAATGTGATCAATAGAAATAACTACAGTCTATAGAACGACATTTTCGTCTTTCATAACTGTTTATGTATAGAATATAGAACAGAATTACATAGATTTACATTATCAATGGCGTCTCTAACTGTACCAAGATAATTTGTTGATTACTGTCACGTAATTAATTATTCATTCAGATAGATACAGTAGTTTTACATTGAGAGTTTCTATTCTCTTTCTTATATTTGCCTAATAGATATTGTGCTATGCGCAGGAACTCGTCACTTGTTCAATGTCAATTGAACTCTTTCCCAAAGAGTTTTCCTTTTGTTTTCTTTCCTTTCCATTCATTGACACCTCACGGAAGAATTATGCCATGTAATGAGCTCTTGTAACCAAATGACACGTTTCACTTGAGTGCCAGCCAACCATGAGAAATGTTTACTAATAAGGATCCATTACCATGTTAGTAAAGATGTTTGATGCATGTTTAAACCAATCTTAGCCTCTTTCTGAAATAAAGTGAGCTTAAGCTTTCCCAGAATAAGAGGGGCGTAAAGGGGGGGGGGGGGGGTATCTGCACGGAAGAACGCGAAATAAAATTGCCATTTCACGATGAACGAACAATTAAAAATTTCTTGCACGTTGATCTTTTTATCGATTTCACGAAACACGGTGAATAATGAACCTTTTTCACGGCTGCACGTGAAATAAAAATGGCAAAACACGTTGCACGAAAATAACCCTTTACCATCCTCGAATAAGTGTCAAGTACAGTGTTGAATTCTAATTAATGGTATTCAATTAAAAGTTGTTTAGGGTTGACATTACTTATTTAACAACTTGCACTTTTGAGAAAGTGAACATGACAATATACTTGTCCGAAAGAGAAAACGACTTGTCCAAAGTTTAAACTTATTTAAGAAAATTTAAAAGTGCCATTATGGATACAAAATCATTAATTGTTTTTAGGTTTTCCATTTTCCAAAATAGCATTAAAAACCTGGTCTAAGCTACCATTCCCATCTCGAGTCTACCTTTGATCATTATTCGATTTTAATATGCATAATATTGTGTAAGAATAAACAATATGGATATATTTCTTACCAGAAAGAAAGTTCTCCAAAGAAAGAGTGTAGGTCATAGAAAAATGAAAACTGTCTTCAGCATAGAGCAATCATTACTTTACCTTATCCTCAAAGCAATAAATGGTTCAAAATTAGGTAAATTTGATGCAGATCAAAACAAAAGAAAACATTGACGTCACAGATCAATAAAAAGAAAAAGAAAAACAATATAGAAACAGACCTGTCTGAACTGTCAATAAAAGACTCACCCTAACTAATTAATCTTTTACATGTTACACTGCAGGTAAACCGTAGATACGTAGCTTTAAATGCCGTCTTTTATACTGTGTTAATACAGAAATAACGGATGGAATCTGATTACTATTTAACGAATCGATCATTTCAAGACATCCGGAAATCAGACCTCATTCTACTTTGTCTTCACATGACTATGTTTCCGAATACGATTCTAACAAATCTTTATCCTTTAATACTGTTATAATAAAAACGAATAGTTAAACTTTAAATCGATGCGATAAAAATGACAAGTGCCCAGATGATGGAGTTTGAAAAGACAAGTGTTTAGATGATACTGATTTTTGAGAGTTTTTTTTAAACTTTTGACATTGTAAATTTGTTATTTAATCGATGTTGACAGAAGATGTATAATGTTATATTTAAAGTTAATTCATCAGACCGAAATAATCCTTTTTAAACATACCTATAAGCATCTAAACGTGAGAGGTGTACATTTCAATCATTATTATTGATTGAAACTGAATGACTTTGATATACAGTCAAAGTGTACCAATACGATTTACGATACTCGTAGATAAACACCATATCTTTTATTTATAAGAGTTGACTGGAAATACATAACTGACATCGGAGATATGAAAAAATATAACGTTTTCCTGGATATAGATAATTATCGAACATTCAATTAAATGGATTCTTAAACGCTGATTTAGGTATGTGTCTTTGCAGATAGCTTTCACTAAAATTATTTCTTTCAAGATTGTAAGCGACAAATATTTTTTATAACTCACTTAACAAGAGAAGGAAATAAACGATAAAAGAGTCAACACGTTACAAAAATTGTATTTAAACCATTTAGTTGAAGTGGGTAATCTTTTTGATTATGTAATATATTTAAGTCAAGACACGTGGTTTTAATTTTGCAACTGCATCCGCGGCATGCGCAGAAAATGAAACAAAGCATAATTCATTGTATCGTAATTATCAATTATCTATATTTCTTCATAAATTTGGCAATAAATACACTAGTTCACCATTAAACTGAAATTGGAAACAAAATAAAAACTAATATTCCTGAAAAACGAAATTTAATTTCAAATAGTTTTGTTCAAAATACCATAGCTTATTTTCTGATTATAATTACTAGTATATAAATTGTATCCCATAAGAAAACCACAAGGGGAAATGTTTCTACACTAAAACACATAGGCTTACCTTGAACAACATCAATTTCTTTGTTAAAATGCATTAAGTTGTAATATAATTCCCATAAGAACAAATACGAAACTAATTTATTCGAAAAAAAACCAAAAAACAAAAGATGTGACTAAATTAGCTGACTGCTTGTAATTGAATATGTATTAAAACAGATACAACTCGATTTACCTGAAGTGAAAAAAATATGGAATATAAGATTGCAAATTAATTTTCCTGGGAATAAAGGCGTTGCTAACGGACATGAAGTGAACAGGTGATTGTGTTAGGATTAACTTTATGATTAAGACAAGTCGTAGACATAAGCACTCTCCAAGCTAGGAATTGACTTTGATGGGGAATCGATACAAGTTTTTTTCTTATCTTAAGAGGAAAGTCAAATCTCCAAACAGTCTTTAACAAGCAAAAAGATGATATTTTGTAACTAAAATGAGTTTAGGATTTACAGTTTAATGTGAATTGAATGTGATGCTCGAATAAGGATGAAATTCTTGTGTTGTAATAAAATTTACCGAAAAAGAGATTGGAAAACTTTAACGGCATAGTGTATTTCTAGAACAAAGCATTAAGACGTGATTTAGATAGTGTTGCTTATAACGACAGAAGCATATGCGTGTGAAATTGAAAATTTAAAAATTGGAAGAAAAAAACACATAACAAATGGATTTGTTGTTATTGAGGAGAGAATTGGAGGAATTCGACATAGAGAGCTTTACCTAAATTAATGTCGTAAAATTTGATATATCACGTGCTTATAGATTGTTCTAATACAAATCGCTCTTCTTTTCGTGTTGATTTTTAAACTTGTGCACAGGCACTATCTAATACTTGTTAGGAATCATTTAAAATTTTGATGTGAAATTGACAAAATGAAATGGGATTCAATTGCGTTAAATGATTAAGTGGTTTAGATTATCATGTTCCGTTGATAATATGATGAAGTATAAATCGATTTGGAGGTAATGCAACTTGAGTTTTGATACAGATTTCTATATAAACATGTAATTACTTTATCACTCTTCATTGTTTAAGTGTCAAGAAAAAAATACTTTAATTAAAGGAAATTGCAGAATAATTGAAGTATTAAAATGAAATATGCATTGAATGAGCTCAAAACGTCACCAGGAAGAGTATTGATATGAAAATAATTTATAATTTCCTAAATAAACCAACTGAATTGGCTTATTTGATTTTGCGGAATTAGTTTGTGAAAGCATATATTAAATGCATATTAAAGAAACATTCAACGAATAGTTTTAAGAATGTACCTCAAAATGGAAACAAATATGTTGCCTTTTATTTTCAATATTTTACTCATTGCTCAACATGTAGAATGTGAAGCTGTTCTGGCTAAGATTGCTACTATACTACCATCTGACGAGAAAAGACTTTTTGCAATCTCAAAAATAAGCATTGCAATTGATATTGCACAATCGAAAATAAAAACTTATAATTTCGGAGAACGAAATATTACATTCAACGTCAGTTACGCTGACTCTCAATGTTCCGATGCTCATGGCATGAACCAAGCAATCAAAATGTACATGAAGAAAATGGTTCATGTATTTTTTGGTCCGAACTGTGATTATTCCGTAGCACCTGTTGCAAGACAAGTAACGTTTTGGAATTTACCGTTAATATCCGGTGGTGCTATGGCGCGTAATTTCAAAAACAAAAATGCGGATTTCCCTCTTTTAACACGTGCTGGGCCTACTAACTTTAACAAATTATCAAATTTCATTGTGGATATGTTTGCATTCATGAGGTGGAAAAGCGGATATATTATTTATTATCGAAATGAACAAAAGGGTGTTTTAGAGGAGTTCTGTAACCTCTTTGCGACATCTTTACACTATGAAACCAACTATGAATATTATAAAATGGAAGATGTTTTAGACGAAAGAAAAATTTTAGTAGAAAAAATTGGAATAAACAATGGGGGTAAGTATTATCTAAGAGACAATGTTACTCAATGTTTGAAAATACCATTGAAAGTCCAATATATAAAAACGATCTGAGAGTCTTTTTGCAGTTTTCGCCTCTATTTGTTAAGAGAATTTCAGATTGCTATGTTTCTATTGTTAGTACCAGATTTCGCTAGGAACGGATTGCAAATAATTGAATCTCCCTTAATCTTACCGTAAAAAATAAATGGCGAGAAATTCAAACCAATTGTGATAATCTTCAACTAGAAAGTTGATATGCAGTGGTATTTTTAAACGCGGTGTATAGTTTGGATTCTGTCGTATCCACATAATAAAAAAATGTTTTGCATGTTCAACTGACCTAGGGATTTAATTTATGTTAATTTAATGTATATTTTCAGCTGATAATTTTTTATGATTAAGCACAGGCCTCACTTAGGTAAAGTTGTCATTCATTTTAGCTATGGTCAACGCGTAATCATATATGTATATGTACACGATGGTGTCACAAGTGGAGCAGGCACTGCTTACCCGTCCCATGTTAGTGTAAAAATTCACAAAGATGTGTTGTTTGCCTCTATAGCCACATGTATGGCTGAATATTCCATTTCCTGTTTACCCAAAGTTATATCTGGGATCTCATTTAAATCATTATCTTTCATTTGGATATTTATTTTGTCTCCCTTTTAACAAAGTTTGTTTGGTACATTTTTCTTGTTATTCACAGTTGTACACTTTAATTCAATTAATATACACAAAATAAGCTTTATCATGTATGAAGTTGTCATACACATTTTTAAAGTACAACATCTGGTAGTTCTTAATTGACAATTCAGTTTGACATTCTGTAAATCTGTTCCCTCAGTCTGTTTCACATTCATATTATCATGATAATAGCTATCTCTGTGTCCAACATGATTTATTGACCCTAAAATATTACAGTCCAACCTGTATATAAAGGTCACCCTCGGGACCAAACCTTACCCTATAAATAAACTCATCATAGATAGGATTACAATTTTGTACTCCAGACGCGCGTTTCATCTACATAAGACTCACCAGTGACGCTCGAATAAAAAAGTAAAAAAGGCCAAATAAAGTACGAAGTTGAAGAGCATAAGAGAGTCGACCTTTGAAATGAGGTTCTAAATGCATGCTACATTGGAAAAATGTGACCTGACATGACAGTTGTATGCCCTATCTAGCAGTCTTGAATGGAAATCTTATAAAAAAAAAATATATTAAAGGGAAAAAATGAATGTTAGCTTTTAGTGGTCTTCAACAATCTAAATTCCTACACGCTTTAAATGGATTACTACATGAAATACATTTGTGACTTCTAAGAAACTTATTAGAATGTTTAACGAATAGATATATTTGTCATGCAAATAAGGAAAAAGAAATTGCTTATTAGTGACGAAATATTTTATGAGTTTCAACATTTTACTATTTAACAATGCATATACTAGTTTCCCCTTTAAGGTTTGTGAGAAGGATCAATACCATACACTCGTAAGCATGTGAGAAGGATCTATATCACACACTCTAAATACACTTAAATATTATTGCAGACCTGGAAATGTCAAAATATTTTGATAATGCTTTAATGAAATTAGAATACATGCAATACTGACAAAATGTCAATTTTTATAATATGATTTACTCTCATTGTGCATTTAGCAATATGCAGCGGCAAATTACTTTAGAGGCAAATCATACACTATTACAGCATCAGTGTTACAAGTTAATGTCGAATTAAATATGTCATACTTATAACTTTCGCACTAAATTTAACCAAATTTTGAGATTTTAAATCAGAATAAAGGATAGAAGCATCAGAAAAGAAAATTAATCAAGAGCTACGGCATTGACCATTCCTTTTATGTGTGTGCGTGTGTGTGTGTGTATGTGTGTGTGAAGGGGGCTGGGGCAGTTTATTTTTTTAATAAATTGTTTCATTCTTCACTTTTGAAAGAAATGGTCTGCGAAAGGAAGTGAAAAATAGTTTGTTACCATTAACATTTAGTGAGGGGATTAAATCACCTGGACCCCATGGAGTTTTAGAGAAAAACTTTCTTGTTCCTTCATGTTATTGAACGAAATAGTGTTTTGTTTTAAATATATTAAAGTCGAGAGAAAAAATAGTTTGTCCCGAGAATAAAATGTTCGAAGCTTAAGTATGAAATGATTTGACACCCTGCATGGAGAAAACAAAATGGTCAAAATAGAAGTTTCACGTCTTATGAAACCTTATTTGACAACCTGACAAAAACACACACAACTCTATCGGCTCCTTGGTATTTGTTATATTCTAAATTTCAGATGATATATAACATAGACACTTTTGAAAGAGTCGCTTGGGCACAATTAAAGAAAAATATTGAAGATATCTTGTAGTTTACACGACTCAAATAAAAGTTTATCACATGCTTCGGCCACAAAAGAATATAACTTGTTTTAAAACAGATAGAACAAAATTGTTATCTAATTATTTTTGGAAAAATCCAAACACATACAAATTTTATGTTTTATTCAATTCTACAAACACTGTACAATTAGAAAAACTGTGTAAACTTATTAAAATTATTAATGTGAAAGTATGTCCTAGTTAAAATATGTAACTTACATGTAGTATTTCACACATGCATGTATAGTTAGTCTATTTATGTATATATATGTACCATTCTCTGTAACTTTGTATTTAGTTTATGAGAATAAAAGATTCATTCATTCACTTGTAGCTATAAAAGATATCTTAACTAAAAGGAATAGAAAATGTTTCAGACGTTTGAACAAAGGACGTAGAGAATTGTGTTTTTGATACGGAAATTTGAAATTACATTTATTCAGTTAAGAACAAAGGTACCAAGGCATAATCATGCACTAAACATTATCAATATAACCACTCTGCAAGATCAGCATCCGAACATCTAAGTTGAAGTGTATTTTTAAGCGGACTCAAGGGATTTCAGGGGCTAAATTCTACTTTTTTCGAATTTCTTTTTTGGTTGTTGAAATCATGTAAAAATCGGCGACCATTTATATGGACCACCTCTTTTTTTGCAGGTGGTACCATGCAACAAACCGCCAGATTTTCACAAACATTCTTAGGGAGCTACCATTTGATTTTTATGGGGGTGGGGGGGGGCTGGCTTTTTTCTAGTTGTGATCTCTGTCCTGACTTTTTATTTTTCACTCTATTCGGTCCTGCCTTTTTTTTTATCAGTTTATCCTGACTTTTTTTTTACATAATTGTCATCCTGCCTTTTTTTTTACTCAAAACTCCTGTCCTGCCTTTTTTTCAAATTTCATCCAATCCCCCCCCCCCCCCCCCATAAAAATCAAATGGTAGCTCCCTTAGTCGCACTTGTACATGTACCCTAACATCTACAATCTGATTAAGATACCGATTCTGTGTCCAAGCTTTAAAAGGCATTGTAAGCAAAGCTTGGAGACAGGAAATGCATTTAAATGTTTTAGTTTTTCTCATTATGATATATTGTATCGATAAGTTACATGTATTTACTGTGTCTTTGTACTTTGAATGGTATCGTTTTCAAACTGTTTTTTGCGATGACTATCAAAAATGTTAATCATGAAACTCAATAGTTTATCATAAAGTCATCATAAAGAAAAAAAAGGGGGGGGGGGGGGGGGGGGGGGGTAACTAACTATATCATTTAAAAGTTGACCAAACATATATATATATACCAAATATATATGAGACATCTTGATTTTTTTTAAATCTGTTAAAAAATTTAAAAAAAACGAATTCTAATTATACACATCTCTAAAATAAACAATTTTAATTTGTTTTAATGATGAAGAAAAAACACTGGTTATGAAAAAGTCTTATCGGTTTTCCCTTTTCTGTTTTTTTTTTTCTATAATGTTCACGAAGAAAAACATTTCCATCTATTGTTATGCAAATGATCAATATTAAAACAATAAGCACGGAATGAGAATGGTAACATTATAGTTACATATGTTTCACCATCGGTAACATGATTCAATGGTATACTAAAGTTGTATTTGAATAAAAGTCAAACTTAATATTCAATCTATAGATTTATTATGTATAAATTTGTAAACTACAACTAGATCCCATTGTAGATACTAAGTAGGTTGTTATACAACAAACTTGTAGTTTTGTTTTAATCATTAACATGTAACATGCGGCGAGCCTTTAGGGAGCTACCATTGATTTTTAGGGGGGGAGCGAGGATGAAAAATTTTGTCCTGCATTTTTTTTAATTGTAATCTCTGTCCCATCTTTTTATTTTTCACTCTATTCGGTGCTGCCTTTTTTTTTATCAGTTTTTCCTGACTTTTTTTTACACAAATTGTCATCCTGCCTTCCCCCCCCCCCCCCCCCCCCCCATAAAAATTAAATGGTAGCTCCCTTAATCAAGTGTTTGTTGTCCTGTTCTTGTACATCCCTTTTTTTAAATTTCAAACCAGTCTTTTTCCCTGATCAATATCGCTATTTAAAAAAAAAAAAAAAAAACAAATGAATTTGATATCATGGTTAAATTTCATTGCAATATGTATGCAAGTCCAAAGTCGGTAACCTCGTCAGTACTTGTCGCACGGATTGTGTCATATCTTAATGTTTTCGCCATTTTGATTATTTAGTTTGGTAACCAAAATTTATTTTTCCAGTGGCAGTTAGAAGTTCCTTCCCTGCATACCTACCTATTGAGTTTATTGTTAATTTGTACTTGTTCTGAACGTTCTTATTACATTTGCCACTAAACGTAAATGAAGTCAATCTCAACTTTTGTAGAGCTTGGTATATCGTGTAGGACTATGACACCTGTTTTGTGTTGAAGACTATTATGTTACCCTGTAAGCAATTTTTGCCGCTTGTTTTTTTGTCTCGTGAACGTATACTTCACATCTCATTTTCATGTTTTGGTAATATCTGAACAAATCTATATTCAACGATTTTCCACCTTGTCCGGAATTGTTTTTCGAATCAAAGATGAGACACAAATCACGTGACATAAATCACAA